ATTTAAATAAAATTGGTTCGGTTAACTGAAAAAAATAACGGTTTACCGGTTTTTCAGTATGGTTAAACGGTTACGGGTTTTTGTGCCCACCTCTAGATCCATTGTTAAATATAGACACTCTGTTATGTGCAATAATTCACAGTACGTGCTAAATGTTAACTACTAACTAGTTTTAGGCAATTAATTGGTTATCATCATACTGACTAAATCTGTCATCATCATCATAGATTCATAGGTTATTTCCATTTGCATGAAACAAATCATGAACCGGCGATGAGTTAAGATAGTTTCTATAGTAATGCTCCGTTCAAATTTGCAAAGAGGCTTAGAAAAAAAACGGGAAATCTTTAATATAAAACAACACATCCAATGTAAAACAACCACTGAAATAGAATTCCCCTTAGGATAATGTTTTTGATGATTAACACTTCTACAGTTCATTTATAAACTTATAACACAAATATTTGCAATCCAAAATTCAAGGGAAAAGAGGAAACGAATCAAATAATAATGGAACCTATGCCTAGTAATGACTACACTTGAAAGACATAAATATAAATGCATACTCATGCAAAAAAAGAGGGAGGGGGATATGACCTCGGGTGATATACTCCGATGAACCAGACGGGCATTGTTGTGAAGGAAATCCAAGGTCTCTGCCATCTGAAGCAAGCCATGTTTCACCTCTAGCAATCCCATTTCCTGCATCATGAATGTCCATAGCAACCACCTTAAACAAGATGTTCTTCTAAATGAACTTTCAGAATGCAAATTTGATGTGTGCGAAATAGTGAGTACACTGATTGAATAATGTACAGACTGAATGACAGATTGAATAATTTAACAATTTTGAAGTCCAATGGCATTGAATAAAATGCAGAGTGGAGAGATACCACTTGCAAAAACTAATTTTAAACTGAAATTCTTCATAGCTAAAACTGAGTGAAGAAGACTTGAAAAATCATAAATCCAGACGAACAAAAAAATAATAAGATGTCTAGTAGACTAGTATGAGGACGAAACAACTGAAAAAGTTAGACATTACTATTCCTTTGAGCTCCTTGGGCGCTTTCTCAATGTTATCCATATTTCCCAGCACATTTGCAGCGGAAGCAAATAACGGCTCAGTTACCATCGCCATGGAATTCTTAGTCTCATCGAGGGCCTGAACGACATGCACCACTCCAGGGTGCCTCAACCGAACAAGTCGTGCAGCATCTGCCCGTACCATATCAAGGAAAGCATCCTCAGCCGTCTTTGAGAGCCCAGAACGCTGTCTCGCTTCAGAAAGAACACGCTTATCGAGAACCCACACGCATACATTAGGATAAACCGAGTGTCCATCTCGGGCCTTGGCGGAGTACAGCTTCCAGACAAGGCCAGGTCCGGCTGACCCGATCTGATCAATGAGATCAAAGTCTTGCAAGGCCCGTGGTCCGGTGACCTCCTGTACGGTAGTCTGGACGGTTTTCTCGATCACAGCCGACGCCTTGGCCAGTGCTTCGGTAAAGGTTTTCTTCATGTTGAGGGACATGACAGGAATTACTGAGTTTCAATGGGGGTAATTCCAGATTTCCACGTACTTTATTAGATTAATAAGCCGGAGGTGGTGGTGGAGGAGCGGAAGCTGGTGGCGGAAGGATCGAATTGACGAGAGGGAAGAACAGATGATTCAGATCCCAGCTCCCTCTCAGTCTCTTTGAGAAAGACTATTATGGTCTTTCCATTCCAAATCGGTTAAAGTAAACTCATCAAGTTTATTTTACATTTACAACAAGTAATACAAAGGGCTTGTTTGCAACCAATTAAAAAAAAAAGTGATTTTGACTTTTTTTTTAAGAAAAATGCACTTAATTTTCTAAACACTACCAACTTTTACTTCCTCGATTTTCGTGTAGAATCTACTTTTTACTTTTTCTATTACACAAAAAGCACTTATTTTACAAAACACTACCAACTTTTACTACTAATCACTTTTTCCCAAAAAGTGCTTTTATTTAAGCACAAGTGATTGCAAAGAGAGCCAAAGAGAAAGATGTACTCCTTGGTCTCCTTAGGGGTGTTTGGATCCGATTCTTAAAAGGTTACAACCACCGTGCCTTTGCAAAACTTGAGGGTACGGTACCCGATACAAATGGTCCACTAAATTTTTGCCATTTGTTAAAAATTTACACGTCAGATGTATTATTAAAATCTAATTATATTCGTTTCAATTTGCTCATATGCTCCTTGAGTACTTGATAATTTGTTTGTGTCCATCCTCCCCGTTACGTGACTTGGTCCTCTGTCAACTCTCTCGTTCTTATTTTTTCAATTTCTTTAGGGATATTTACCTAAATAGGAGTAAATCAATGTTTAATTGCCAAAATAGGACTAAAGTGTAAAAATTCCCTAAATAGGAGTTATTATATGTAATTAGACAAAAACACCCTTGCTGAGAAGTCATAAAGCCGCTAACCAGAACATTGGACCACCGCCATTCGCCGGCCGCCTCCGGCCGCCGCCGGTCGCCGCTGGTCGCCGGCCATCGCTGCCGTCTAAAAAATTAGCCGGTGTTGCAGATCAGGCTGTCGTCGATGCAGATCTGGCGGGTTTCGCCGGAGATCTGACCATATCAATCCTCCGTCAGCCGTAAGCCGCTGCCCCTGCAGATCCAGCCACCGCCACAGCTAATCCGCCACCTGCCGCTGCATCGCCGACCTTCTCAGTTGCAGATCTGGTTGTTTCCGACGTGAATGCCAAGGTTTTTATCAGAATGCCATTTTAATGGCAATTTAAAAGGGAAATACAGCATTTTTGAAGACTAAAAATGCCATTTTAATGGCAGTTTCAGAGTTTAACTTGGCATTTTGTAATAATCAAAGAAGAAACGAAGCGTGTAGAGAGAACTAGAGTAGAAGAGGAGAAAACTCGATCCCCGGCAGTGGCGGCGGCGGACTTTGTGGCAGCGGTAGCGGCAGACTTCGTGGCAACGTCGGCGGCGGAGTTCATGGCGGCGGCTATGGTTGTGGCTTCTTGTTCGTTGTTGCTGTGTGAAGGAGGAGAGGAATATGTGCAGGGGTGGGGATGGGGATAATGGGCTGCGCAGGAAGAATGAATAATGTGCAGGGAGAAGTAATTGATCTGGGATTCTAGGGTATGGGTAGGAAAAGTAAGGAGGAAGCAAATTAAGGGTAAATGGGTAATTTGGTCTTATTTGGGGAAAAAAAATATGTAGTCCCATTTGGGAATTTCAGGAACAATTTAGTCCTATTTAGAGCAAAAAACTCATTTCTTTATCGCATGTGGCTATGGCGATTGTGGCTTCAGACACGCACAACGGCTTACACGAGGAAATACAATTGCGGCCGTTTTGAGAGTGGAGATATAGGGTTCCAAAGCTCACACAAGGATTCTGGAGATTCCAAAGTCGAGCATACTTCTTGCATGCGAATTGATGGTCAAATTGGAAGCTTGATGTCAACGTTATTCCATCGGCAGAGGTAGATTAGTATGTATGACATCTTCACAGTCCATCTATTTGAAAATTCTTCCTTAATGGGTGTCCTGGGCGGCTGGGCAACTCTTTACTCGCACATCAGGTAAAAGATCCATATTAAACATGGAGAAATCTATATGGAGAAATCCATACTCTTTACATGCTCTTTCCGCTTTATACAGTAGGTCTTAATTCTGAACTAATGTACTTTGATTAGAATGGAATTTGATCATTTGTTTATGTTGTGGAGTATCTGAAGAAAATATTTGGCTTCATTCTTAGTTTTCTGAACCTGACAGGCTAAATGGTTTAAATAGAGCAAATTCACATGCCCATTGCCCTAAATATTTTGTGAATATTTTGTGTTTTTCTGAACCTGACAGGCTATGCTACTGAATATTTTGTGTTTTTCTTTTCGGGACATTTGAAAGGAAAAGGCAGGGCATTTAGTGCTGGAGGTGATGTTGTTTCACTGTATCATCTGATAAAACAGGGTATCATTTCTTTAATTGTACGTAGTATTAGTTTGTTTTCTCATCTTTTTTTTCAAATAATAATATGGAGTAATATATGTAGTACGTATATTATAACTTTATTTGTTATATACTACGTATGTATTTTTTATAAAGCATGTTAAAGAAGAGGTGTCTAACTTATCATCTTGTGATTAAGCACCATATAAGCTATTTGGTGTTGACGTTTGTTAGGGATACTATATTCACGTATATTGTAATAGCTATAGTTTAGTTGTTACAATTTGTTCAAGTTGTTTAGTTTCAGTTGTAAGTCGGTTACAGTTACTGCACTATAAATACTTGTACTGGCTTTGTAATAATTGAATGAAATCCTTTTTCTTCTGCTTACAATTCTCTCTGGCTACTATTCTAATATGGTATCAGAGTTTTGAGCTCGATCTACCATGGCGACAACAACATCTTCCTTTCCGTCAGTTTTTACACATCCGCTCCCAATCAATCTCGACTCAAACAACTTTCTTCTCTGGAAGCACCACATCGAATCAATCATCCGAGCACACAAATTGTTGAAATTTGTGGAAAATCCAAAGATCCCTAATCAGTTCGCCAATGGCGAAGATGGCACCACGACGATCAATGATGAGTATACTGTATGGGAGCAACAGGACCAGATGCTATTTTCATGGTTGCTGTCCTCTCTATCTGAACCACTCCACGCTAGAGTAATTCACTGTCGACACTCACATGAACTTTGGAGTATGATTCGGAAGTTCTTCCAGTCGAATGTCACCGCGAAAGCGAGACAGCTCAAATCTGAGCTTTACAATACTGGCAAAGGCAATCGATCAATTGCTGAATATCTCCTTCAAATCCAGACAACTATTGATAATCTCAGTCTGATTGGTGAGCCGATCTCCACTAAAGATCATGTTAACGTAATCCTCGAAGGACTCCCTGAGGAATACGAATCTCTCGTATCATCTGTTTCATCCAGAAGCTTGACTGATCCTATATCTGTTGCTGAACTTGAACCTCTTCTTTATCTCAAGGAGATGCGTCTAAAAAAGCTTCGTGAAGCTAGCACTGCAACTCTCTTTTCAGCCAATGTTGCTCATACTGAAACATCCTCTCAAAGCTCTAACTCTGAAACTTCTGCACTGACTGAATCCTCTTCTGCGAACATGGCGCAATTCAATAACCCTAATCAGTCAAATTCTTATAGAGGACGAGGTCGTGGTGGATCAAACAGAGGTAGAGGAGGCAGATTTGGAGGCCGCAACTCAGTATTTTGTCAGGTATGTGGAAAACCTGGACATCATGCCTTGATCTGCTATCACCGGTATAATCCAAACTTTACCACTCCAAACCAAAATCCTACCTATACCCCTTCTTCCTCTGTAACCTCAAATCAGTCACCCTACTATCAGTTTCAACCTCACTTCAACTATCCTTCTCCCTATACTCCCAGACAGAATACACCTCAACCCTACACCTCTTCATCGCATCCTGGCCAATTTTTCAATCCACAACCTACAACTCCAGAAAATGCTAATTGGGATCAACACTCTGTCAGACCTCTGCCTTCTGCAGCACTTGCAAGCACCAGCTCTATTCTTGGACCAGCACCATCTCCTCAACAATGGTTCCCAGATTCAGGAGCAACTCATCACATAACTGCTGATCCTCTCAACTTCCAACACAGTGAACCACTTGCTTCAACTGACAAACTCTTTATGGGTAATGGTCAAGGTGTGGATATCAAATCTATTGGTTTTACTTCCTTTCTTTCTCCTTATTCTAACTCTCAGTATCTTACTCTTACCAACATGCTTCATGTTCCCTCAATTACCAAAAACCTCTTGAGTGTTAGTCAGTTTGCTAAGGACAATAATGTTTTCTTTGAGTTCTATCCTCATGATTGTTATGTCAAATCTCAGGTTTCTAAACAGGTTCTTTTACATGGAATTCTTGGTGCTGATGGTTTGTACAAGTTCCAGTCTATATCACCTCTTGGATCATATCAATTCAAGTCTGCCAGTCAGCCTACTTCTATAGTGTCAACACCCAATAAACACTTGTATCCCATGTCCTTTGTTTCCACTTGTAATAAGTCTGACTCATGTAATGCATCAGTTTCTTGTAATGTTTGGCACTTAAGATTAGGCCATCCACATTTTGAAGCACTGAAATCTGTACTCAAAAATTGTAATGTGCCTTCAATAAATAAAAGTGATCTTTCTTTCTGCTCTTCTTGTTGTCTTGGAAAGGCTCACAGATTGCCTTCACAACCATCTACTACTGTTTATCATTCCCCATTTGATCTTATCTTTACTGATCTATGGGGACCAGCACCTATATTGTCCTTTGATGGATATTCTTATTACATATCATTCATTGATGCATCTACAAGATACACTTGGATATACTTTTTGAAAAAGAAATCTGATGCAATCACAGCCTTTCAAAACTTCTGCAAATATGTTAAAACTCAATTTTCCACATCCATTAAATCTGTTCAGTCTGACTGGGGAGGGGAGTTCAGACCTTTCACAAACTTTCTTACTGACAATGGGATCACACATAGGCTAATTTGTCCACACACACATCATCAAAATGGTGTTGTGGAAAGAAAACACAGAACCATTGTTGAAAAGGGTCTATCCATTTTAGCCCACTCCTCATTACCCTTCAAATTCTGGGATGCTGCCTTCTCCACTTCAGTTCATCTTATAAATAGAACACCATCCACCTCAATTTCTAATTCCAGTCCATACTTCAAACTTTTTGGGAGTATGCCAGATTACTCAATTCTCAAAGCATTTGGTTGCTCTTGCTATCCATTTATCCGACCCTACAACAAGCACAAAATGGCATTTCATTCAGAAGAATGCATCTTTATAGGCTACTCCCCTCAACACAAAGGTTACAAATGTCTTTCCTCCTCTGGCAAAATTTATATTTCCAAGGATGTCACCTTTAATGAAATCAAATTTCCTTACTCTATTCTTTTTCCAACCATTTCTACCAAATCCCAGAACTCTCAGTCTCCCTCTTCTCCTCCACTAACTGTGTTTCATCCTCAATTATCCTATAACCCTCCCCCTTCCCACACTACTGAATCCCAGTCAACTCCATCTCACTCACAGTCTCAATCCACTACTGTCTCTCAATCAACATCATCTCAGTCTACTGCATCTGAGAGTCACAGTTCCTCTCACCCATCCTCTTCTCATTCTCATGAGTCAGCTCAACCTCATATATCTCAACCTCCACCTACACCTCCACATCAGTCCAATTCTACAACATCCTCATCCTCTTCCTCTCTTTCACCACCTATAACTAACACTCATCCTATGCAAACTAGGGCAAAGTCAGGAATTGTAAAACCTAGGTTACATCCCACCTTGCTATTAGCTCAAACTGAGCCCAAATCAGTTAAGCAAGCTTTAACTTCTCCACAGTGGATGTCAGCTATGCAGGCTGAATATGATGCTCTAATAGCAAACCACACTTGGTCCCTTGTTCCTCTCCCACCTAACAAGCAAGCTGTTGGATGTAAATGGGTTTTCAGAATAAAAGAAAATTCTGATGGTTCCTTAAACAAATTCAAAGCAAGATTAGTAGCCAAAGGATTTCATCAAAGATTTGGATTTGATTTTGGAGAGACCTTCTCCCCTGTTGTGAAACCCATTACTATCAGAATTCTACTCACTCTAGCTATTTCTCACAAATGGTCAATTCAACAACTTGATGTCAACAATGCCTTTTTGAATGGCAACCTAGAGGAAGAAGTCTATATGATTCAACCTCCAGGCTTTGAAGTCAAGGATACCTCACTTGTTTGCAAACTGCACAAGTCCCTGTACGGTCTAAAACAGGCCCCTAGAGCTTGGTTCCAAAAGCTAACCTCTATTTTATATGCTGCTGGATTTAAGCAAAGTAAATGTGATCCTTCTTTGCTTACCTTTCTACAATCTGAGGTTCAAATCTACATTCTGATTTATGTAGATGACATTTTGGTCATTGGAAATAATCACACTGCCATTCAACAACTCATTCACAAGCTACATTCTTCCTTTTCTCTGAAACACTTGGGGGAAATTGACTTCTTTCTGGGAATTGAAGCCAGAAGACAAAGAAATGGCAGCTTACATCTCTCTCAAACAAAATACATCCGGGATCTTTTACACAGGGCTGGCATGCTTGAGTCTAAAGGAGTTAAAACTCATATGGTTAGCAACTGCAAACTCATTAATACAGGTAGTGCAGTGTTACCTGATCCCTCTACCTACAGATCTATTGTTGGTGCATTGCAGTATGCAACTCTCACACGCCCAGAAATAAGCTTTGCTGTAAACAAAGTTTGTCAGTTCATGGCTACACCTCTACAGGATCATTGGCAAGCAGTTAAACATATTCTCAGATATCTCTCTGGCACCATAACCCATGGAATCATCATTAAACCTTTACCTCTAGCCACTATTCCTCTGCCAGTGTCAGCCTTCTGTGATGCTGACTGGGTTTCTGACCATGTTGACAGAAGATCCACCTCTGGTTCCTGCATCTTCCTTGGTCCAAATATTGTTTCCTGGTGGTCTAAGAAGCAATTGAGAGTAGCAAGATCTTCAGCAGAAGCTGAATACAGGAGCCTAGCTGACACAGTTGCTGAACTTTTATGGATTCAATCTCTGCTCAAGGAACTTCAAGTTCCTTTCACCACTCCCAAAGTGTATTGTGATAATCTTAGCACAATACAGCTTGCACATAATCCAGTATTGCATTCTCGCATCAAACACATGGAGATTGATCTTTTCTTTGTAAGAGAACAAGTTCAGTCTAAACAGCTAGAAGTTTTTCATATCCCAGCTCCCTATCAAATTGCTGATGCTCTTACAAAGCCATTAACTGCTTCATCCTTCCTTGATTTCAAGACCAAACTTAGTGTGGTTGATCTTCCAAATCAATCACCCTAAATTTGAGGGGGGAATGTTAGGGATACTATATTCACGTATATTGTAATAGCTATAGTTTAGTTGTTACAATTTGTTCAAGTTGTTTAGTTTCAGTTGTAAGTCGGTTACAGTTACTGCACTATAAATACTTGTACTGGCTTTGTAATAATTGAATGAAATCCTTTTTCTTCTGCTTACAATTCTCTCTGACTACTATTCTAATAACGTTGTAGTCTTTGTGTGTCTAGAATTTGATTCAGGGTATAAGTTGATCTCCACTGATTAGTCTAACCAAACTGTGGTAGATATGCAGTGGTTAAAACTAGTTATTTGCTAAAAACAATCAAAATCACGAAAAAAGTTATGTTTTGAATTTTGATAATAAGTGCAGTCTTGACATGAGATTTCCAACTTTTTATAAGTTCTTATGGTTGCTTAATCAAATTTAACTACCGTCACATGGCTAACACTCTGTCTTTATACCAGTAAAATAATTTTCTTTTCCAGTAACCACCTAAATTATTCATCTTGCTATCTTGATTTTCATGTCTTTCTTCTTGTGAGACATGAAAACGGTTAGTTATAAAGATCATTTTGATCTCAGCGATTTGCTTCCACCTAAAATGTGCAGCATCTACAAGAGGAAGGGTACATCAATATTGTACCCATGGCTGGTAGTATTTTACTCTTTATAGAACTTCAGTGCCATTTATTTTGTGTGACGTGCTATGTTGGCACCAGATAACTTGATTGAAGATGATAACACCATCGCCATGGTTAACAAAGATTCATTACACCGGCGTGACAATTACTTTTCAATAACTTCTCTTTAGCACATGAAAAAGAATATCATTATATTTTAGCATTTGATTTGGTTTTTCTTATTCCTCACACTGCTGGTAAAAGTTTGTTGCTAAGATTTTAATGTTACGAAAAATCTTATCAAGGTGGAAATTGGCAACCCTTGTACTGCCATATGTATCCATTTGTGCAGATACGATGCATCTATTAGATACTTTCATTTTTTTTAAACACACAATCCTTGTCCCTCTTTTAATCCTATGAGCTATGACTATCAAAGTCGTAGATCAAAACGAGGTTAAATGAATATTGAGATTTTCAATGAATACAAAATTTTATTAAAACGTCAATCATAGAGCATTCACGAATGTGTAATTGATCATGTCTAAAATATCGGTCGAGCAATCGCGCAAATGTAACAGGAGCATTCTTATCTTCCTTGAGGGTGATAGGATGTAAAAGAATCTTTATCTATGTTTATGATCCTTGCACTTTTTGTTAATTGACTTTTTCTGCTAGCAGCCATTAAACTGGATTGAAGAACCAACAAGCCTCTAGAATCGCAGAATAAAGGCACGACTTCAGAGTTTGGTGTGGCTTTAGAGTTTGCTGCAGAGTTTCATTATATAAAGATGTTTGTAAACAATGCTTGAGGGTTTCAAGTTACCTAAACCAATTGTAAATTGTAATACAAGAAGTAGTATCCTATTATGGATGGGTGTTTCCCTCCAAAATGATATAAGTATATAATGTAACGTTGATAGTTAAATTATTATCTCAAAAACACAAAAGTAATTGTATTTTATTTTGAATCAATATTTATATGTATATGATAAGTCCATTTATGTACTTATTTTTCTTATCAAATTTAAGCGATTCTGGATTGAAAAATAGAAAAACAAGGCACATTTTATATATTTTGGTTCAAGTTTCATGAAATCGGGTAAAAATCGCATTCATAACATGTTTTGTGAAATTTCGGGTCAATTGCGTGAAGAAAGTGGCACTTTTTGCCAACAAATGAATTGATACGGAAGTTTGCAAGATATATTGACCAATTGTTCAATTAAAAAAAGTCCAAGTGATGAAGAAATCATGCAAGGAAGTTCAAAACCACGAAGGAGTCACATATATGGCTACTTTTGATGAAAATGGACGATGCATAGAGACACATGTTCGTATTGTGATCATAACTTTGCGCATAATTGTCCAACGTTCGTGATACGAGTTTCATTACATTGATATCTTCCTGATCTACAACTCTTATGAAGAACACATAGCCAAATAACCACCGTAGAATGGACATATTGCTCAAAGAAGTCAGACATTTGCAGTTGCGATGGAAAGTGACATGTGGTCACCGTTTTGACCATATCTCATAAACTACAAATCCAATGAATGCGATTCAAATTCCAGTAGTTAGCCAAGAAAGAGAGCTACAACTTTGGTGAAGACAACTTTTCCATTTGACGTAAGGCGGTGGAGCAGGCG